GCCGCCGCCGGCTCCCTCCTCCGAGGGCTGCTCGCCCAGCCCCCTGCCGCCCCCCTCGGGGGCGACGTCGGCTCGGCATCGCTCGGACGTGTGCACTCATCCTCCTCGCTCGGACGTTGCATGCGTAAGGAGGGAGGAGGAGGACGAAAGGATGGGGAGCAGGTGGTGGAGGAGGAGGAGGAGGAGGAGGATCCTGGAGCATCCTGCGAGACAGCAGAGGCGTGGGAGACCGACGGAGGCGCAGGGAGCGGACGCCCGAGCCGTGGCGAGGTCGGCGGGGTGTGAGGGGCTTTCCTTATTGTTTCTCGGGAGGAGAAGAAACACACAGACACAAGTAATCATCGATCCCCGGAAACTATTGGAAAATGATACCGGAGAAAAAACCCAATCAGGGCTATAGGGCTAGGGGGCTATAGGGCTATTGAGCTAGAGGGCTACAGAGCTATAGGGCTATAGAGTTGTAGGGCTACATGGGCTATTGGGCTATAGGGCACCCCCGGGCACCCCCGGGCACGCCCGGGCACGCCCGGGCACCCGGGCACCCCCGGGCGTGCAGCGAAAATCGGCGGCAACCCTAACCTAATCATATGAATCCGCTAGGACCCCTACAGAGACAGCTCTGATAGGGGAAATATGGGGAGTGGGGGGAACGAGTGAGATCCAGAAAATACGATCAGGTATGGGGAGTCCTGGGAGCTGTGTCTGTGGTATGTGTGTCTCAGGGGCCCTCTTCTTCCTCGGCCACGCGCAGGGGTGGGCGGGGGCAGGTTGGAGCAGCGAGGGGGGAGGAGGCAGGAGGAGCAGCGAGGAGGGAGGAGGGAGCCGGGGGGGGGAAGTGGGAGAGGCCTCCGCCCTTCCCCCTCCCCCTCCTCCCACTTCCCCGACTGGCCCGGCTGCTGCCCGTGAGGCCCCTGAGGACAGAGCCTCGGTCGACCGTCCTCGGCGCGGCATCAAATCCCAGACATGATCGCGTCGTAAAAAATCAGGACGGAAGGTTTTTCGCTATTTTCGACCTCTACAGGCCCTCGCGGGGCACCAGGACCGTCAAGAAACGACTCAGGATGACAAACCGGTCCCGGGGAAAGGGTCGGGACTTCCGGTCGGGGGACGCCGTCCTGAAAAAATCAGGACGTCGCATGTCTGGGATCATACTTTCGGGTCCTAAGAAGTATTTGTTCGGAGGTTGCCGCCGGGATGGCTGCCCATTAGTTCGAGAGCGTTGGCGCATCATACAGGTGCAAGCGCTGCGGCCTTCTCCACGAGTTGATCGCCTCGGTTCGGTTCGGTCTGGTTCTGCAGCCGGTTCGGTTTTGCTGGGCCAGTTCGGTTTTAACACCGAATTTCGGCCGGTTCGGTTTGGGTATGGTTCCGGTTCGGTTCGGTTCGGTTCGGTCCTACCGGTTCGATCCCACCGGTTTGGTTCGGTCCCACCCTCGGTTCGATCCCACCGGTTCGGTTCGATGCGATTGACGGTTTGGTTCGATTCGGTCCGACCGTTCCGGTTCGGTGCGATTAGCGACGTTGGGCGCCCCGTCTGCGTAAGCGACGGCCCAGTTTGAACAACAAAGGAGGAGGAGGAAGAAAAAGAGGAAGAGGAGGAATAATACTAATAATAATAATAATAAGAAGAAGAAGAAGAGGAAACATAAGAGGAAGAGGATCCACGTCTGGCCACGTCTGGATCCGCCTGGAGATGGTCGCCCCTGCCTCCCTCTCGTGAGAGGGCCGCCGCCGCCGCCGCCGACGACGACGGGCGGGGCGCCCCCGAGGTGGCCCCGTTGGGGGGTTGCGACGAGAGCGCCGGTGGGGAGCCGCGACGGGGGGGTCGCCACGGGGGGGGGGGCGGGGTCGGTGGACAGCTGGTGGGGTGGTTACCGCGGGTTCCTCCTCCTCCTCCTCCTCTTCCTCCTCCTCCTCCTCCTCCTCCTCCTCCTCCTCCTCCTCCTCCTCCTCCCCAGTTCGGCGCGCCCCTCGCACACGCTTCGTGGCCCCAACAGGGAGCTCCACCGAAGGCCCCAGTGGCAGGGTCCGCAGGCGCCCCCCAGCCCAGTTCGGCACGCCCCCCCACACGCTTCGTGGGAGCTCCGCTGACGGCCCCAGTGGCGGGGCTCGCATGCGCCAGCCCCGCCCATTTCGGCACACCCTTCACACGGTTCGCGGCCCCATGGGGAGCTCCACCGAAGGCCCCAGTGGCAGGGTTTGCATGCGTTCCCCCGCCCGTTCCGGCACACCCCTCACACGCTTCGTGGCCCCATAGGGAGCTCCGCCGAAAGCCCCAACGGCAGATTTCGTATGCGTCCCCCCGCCCATTGCGGCGCACCCCTCACATGCGTCGTGACCCCATAGGGAGTTCTATTGAAGGCCCCAGTGGCAGGGTTCGCAGGCGTCCCCCCGCTCATTTCGGCACCCCCCTCACACGCTTCGTGGCCCAACAGGGAGCTCCGCCGAAGGCCCCAGTGGCAGGGTTCGGATGTGTCCACCCCTCACACGCTTCGACGTTGCGACGTTTCGTGGCCCTCACACGCGTCCGCGCGCGCGCGCGATCGGGTAACCCACGCGCGGGCGGGTCACCCGAAATCCGGTCGGTCACCGTCAAGGATTGATTGGGCCAATGGTCTAGTTATGGGGTACGTTTCGTCGCGGCCCTCCGGGAAGGATTTGGCGTGCCCACGGGCCTGCCAGGACGCGCCCAGGACGTGCCCAGGACACGCGCAGGACACGCCCAGGACACGCCCAGGACACGCCCAGGACACGCCCGGGACACGCCCAGGACACGCCCAGGACACGCGCAGGTCACGCCCAGGACACGCCCAGGACACGCCCTGGACACGCCCAGGACACGCCCAGGACACGCCCAGGATACGCCAGGGACACGCCCAGGACACGCCCAGGACACGCCCAGGACGCCCAGGACACGCCCGTGTCCTGGGCGTGTCCTGGGCGTGTCCTGGGCGTGTCCTGGGCGTGTCCTGGGCGTGTCCTGGGCGTGTCGTGTCCTGGGCGTGTCCGGGCGTCTGGGGGTCCTGGGCGTGTTGTCCTGCGCGGTCTGCGCGTGTCCAGGCGTGTCCTGGGCGTGTCATGGGCGTGTCCTGGGGTGTAACATCGGGCTTCTGGAGTTGGTCCTGGGCGTGTCATGGGCGTTGTCATGGCCGTGTCCTGGGCGTGTCCTGGGTGGCCCTGGGCGTGCTATATGGGGGCACGTCGGTGGGCTTCGTTCCTGGGCGTGTCCGGGCGTGCATGGGCGTGTCCATGGGGCGCGTCCTGGCGCTGTGTCCCTGGAGTGTCCTGGGAGTTGTCTGGGCAGTGTCGGAATCAGTATTGCTTTGATCCCACAGAGGCGCGGTGACCTGGGGAGACATCGGGCGTGCTCTGGGCACGTCGTGGGCGTGTCCTGGGCGTGTCCTGGGCGTGTCCTGGGCGTGTCCTGGGCGTGTCCTGGGCGTGTCCCGGGCGTGTCCTGGGCGTGTCCTGGGCGTGTCCTGGGCGTGTCCTGGGCGTGTCCTGGACGGGCCCTGGGCGTGTCCTGGGCGTGACCTGGGCGTGTCCTGGGCGCTCCGTGGGCATGTCCTGGAGCGGTGTTGGCCGTGTCCTGGGCGTGTCCCGAGCGCTCCGTGGGCATGTCCTGGAGCGGTCCTGGCAGGCCATTGTGGGCATGCCAAATCCTTCCCGGAGAGGCTCTGAGAGTCCCCACGAAGAACTAGGCACGGGGCCACCCCAAGTCAAGGAGTCACTTCAGTTTCCAGACCACCAGGATCATTTTGCGATTGTGGACACACGGAATTCCCTAGCATCCGCGCGCGCGCGATCGGGTGACCCACGCGCTGGCGGGTCACCCGAAATCCGGTTGGTCGCCGTTAAGGATGTACTTCAGTTTCCAAGCCAACATGGCGATTTTTCCTTTGTTGACAACTACAGGTCAAAATGGGAAAGTTGTCATCTTGACGTGGAAACTAGAAGTGAACCCTTCACTGTAACCAGCGGGATTTCGGGTCACACGCCCGCGCGTGGGTCACCCAATCGCGCGCGCGCGCGGACGCGCGCGTGGTGAATTTTGTATGTTCAAGCATCGTAAAGTGGCCGTGCTGGTCTGGGAATTAAAGTGAACCCTTAACGGTGACTGGTCGGATTTTGAAGTTAACCTGCGCTTCCGACGTTTCCAAACATATTAAAGCCGCCGTGTTGACTTGAAAACTAAAGTGGTGCCCATTAACGGTGATCGATGTGATGTTAAAGTTTCATGCTTTTTTCCCGAGATATGCAAACGTAGAAAGTCGCCAAGTTGGCTTGGAAACTAAACTGCACCCTTCACTGTGACGAACGGGATTTCAGGTAACCCGCCCGCGCGTGAGTCACCCGATCGCGCGCGCGCGCGGACGCGCGCGTTGTGAATTTTGTATGGTCCACAATGGAAGATTCGCCATGTTGGCCTGGAAACTAAACTGAACTTTTAAGTGTGACCCACGGGATCTCGGGTGACCCGCCCGCACGTGGGTCACCCGATCGCGCGCGCGCACGCGCGGACGCGGTTGTGGCAAATATGAATTGCCCACCGTGGAAAATTCGCTATACTGGAAACCAAGATTACATACTGGATTTTGAAGTTAACGAGCTTCTTCTCATATTTTCAAACGTGGGACATGTTGGCCTGGAAACGAAAGTGCGCCTCTAACAGTGACCAGCGGGATTTCGGGTGACACGCGCACGCGTGGGCGCGCGCGGGCGCACGCGTGACGTTTTTTTTTTTTTTTTTTGGGGGGAGAAAATGCAGCAATGGAAAAGTCGTCATCTTGACGTGCAAACGTACCCTTGACAGTGAACCTTAATTTTCATGCCGGCGCGGCGATGTAAACAATTGTGACCTTGTCAGAACTCTCCACGCGCGCGCGAGTATAATCAACCATAGAACAAACACACAGGAACCAGATGTTCAACTTCTGCAAATGCATGCTCGTGGTATGGCGTGCAGTGGGCGCGCGCAAGTTGTCGTAAGGGGCCATGCA